GTGATGGGTGTTATCAGTTCAGCCATGTTTTTTGATAAGAAATATCTGGTAAATAAGGCCCCTTTCATACATGTGGACCCTTTGTTTTTTATCCATCTGTTGACGCATCTCTATGGAAAAAACGGATGTAAACGGATGATCATCCATTTATATCTGCATCTGTGAACATCCGTTTTTTTAGGATTAAAGCTCTATTTTTGTTGCGTTAAACCGTAATGGACGAAAAATGGATGTAAACTGTTTTTTACATTGGAAGTTGAAGTAAAAATCTGATAGAAATGTCATCCGTTTATTTATTAGAAAAAAAAACATGACTGAACTGATGAAATGAACGTTTGAAAGGGGCCAGTGGATTCAGATTACATCAGTTTACATCAATTTGCGCATCCATCTTCAGTTCAGATCAGTTTACATCAGTATATCAGTTTAGCACAGTTCAGTTTTCATCAGTCTATATCCGTTTTTGCATTGTTTTTTTAGTTGTTGCAGACACCAATCAGAGGTGATAAAAGTATAAACAAAAAATGTTTCTGACCAAAAAGCGGACATAAATGAAACATGTAAATAGACGGCATCCGTTTATATCCTTTCACTTCTACTCAGATATATCTAAATGAAAAAGGATGCAACCTTGTTTCATTTTTTAAAAAAACAGCCCTGAACGGACATAGATGTAAGCAGATGTAATCGGATGATAATCAATTTACATCCACCCTCACATAGACATACTGTACATTGTGGTTCAGTCTGGATCCGTCTGAAAAACTGACAGATCTAGACTGAACATCTGTGTGAAAATGGCCTAAGGTTACTATAGTGCAGTTCTGTCTGGCTACATAATAATTCATACAGGTAGAAATTGTATTTTACATGTATACAGTAGAGCAGGGGTGTCAAACTTCATTTCATCGTGGGCCTTATCAGCTTTATGGTTGCCCTCAAAGGGTCGGTGTATCTATAAAACTAGATATCCAGAGCACCCCACCCCCCATTACATCAGATATCAAGAATCCCACACCCTCCCTAACATCACCGTGCACCCCATTTGGGGGCAGAGCTGGAAAGCAGAAAGTGCAGGGTCTGGAGGAGGATCAGATGAGGAGTGGAGTCAGTTACCAGAGTCTGTTGAATGCTGAGAGCAGGGGAGGCAGAGATGAGGGGTGTGCTGCAGTTACACTGAGAGGTGCGGGATTGGGTAGAAAAGTTCTATTCTCCTCTCTGCTGCCAACTGAGATGGAGGCAAGGGGGTACCTGCAAAAGAGGTGCAAGGGCCACATGAAATGACCTGGAGGGCCAGATTTGGCCCACAGGCCTTGTGTTTGACACCTGTGCAGTACAGGCATACCTCGGTTTACAAACGCCTCAGTTAACGTCATTTTTGAAATAAAAATCCATTGAAAATAATTGCTCGGTTTACTAATTTTTTTCGCAATACGAATGGATTAATTGGTTTTCAATGTATTTACAAATTTTTTTTTAATCATATCCCTGTACAGTATTTATGCCTTTAAAGTGCACTTTATAAAGAGTTTTTGACCAAAAAAAAAAATACTTTTTTTCTGACCTCCGGAACGGATTAATTGGTTTTCAATGCATTCCTATGGGAAACAGCGTCTCGGTTCACAAATTTTTCACAATATGAAAAGTCCCACACAACTAATTAAATTCGTAAACCAAGGTACGCCTGTGTATAGTTTGAGCACTTCTATAAGAAAGCACGTAGGGTTGTTTATATCTAGCAGGGATTCATTTTAGAAAAAGGGGAGAGAGGCAGGGAGCCTTCTAATAGTTTTATTATGAGGCCTCATCAAACAGTTACACCACTGCTTAAGGCAGATTGAAAAACTCCACAAGGACAAGAATTTCTAATCTGTTATTACTAATCAGATTCGAACCTTACAGAAAGCAGAGAGAGAGAGAGAGAGAAGAAGCTACTTAGTACAAACTTCAGAATGTGCTGGGGGGCACCACACAACCTGCTCCTGGGTCCTCTTCAGCATGTGTATGCACAGAGCAGCCCAATTCATTCCTATAGGGGAAGTCATTCTGCATGCCTCCATAAATACAGATCCCTATAGGAATGCATGTGTCTGCAGTGCACATTTGCAGGCTAAAGAGTACTCTCATCTGGACTACTTATTAAAACCATCACCTTGTAAAACAACCCATTCAGTTTAAAATAGAAATGAAACGCAAAACATTTGTGTATAGACATAAAATAACAAAAAAAAAATATTTTTTTTTTTCCTTTTTCAAATCTTCACATACTCTGTATGATCACTGACAGCTGCAGTAGGAGCTCAGAGAGCTAGGAGAAGAAAAACAGCAGTATACAGATCTTCCCAGTGAATGGCTGTACAAATACATAATACACAAGTACATGGCTCGGCAGACACATATCAGTAATATGAAATTTTGGGGTTTACATATTCTTAAATTTGAGAAAAACAAATATTGGCCCCCTTCAGGTTTATGCCATAATGTGCTACTAAGTACCTCTTACTAGCGCATTAAGACAATTTTACCTTGGAAACTAAGCCCTCCAGCCAGGGGCGGACTGACAACTCACGTGGCCCCTGGGCAATAGGGGATCATGAGGCCCCTGTGTCCTTGCTCAAACTCAAAAAAGCCTATAAAAAAGGTACCAGGGGCATCTCATGGGGCCCCCTACTGACCCGGGCCCTCGTGCAGTGCCCGAGTTTCCAAATGGTGAGTCCGCCCCTGCCTCCAGCAGCATGCTGTTATCATTGCAGAGGCTTCCGTCTACACGTCTGGGTTTGCAGGCTTGTGGCTGTTTGAATGGCTGAGCCGCTAATGGTATCACTCTCGCTCATATGCACAGGAGCCATGTTTGTGGCATGGTGCTTTGCATTCTGTGTGGCTGATGAAAATGTCTCCTAAAAGGTGCATGTTAAAGAGATATTCATTGTACCTGTAGATAAACTTGACTGTAAACATACCTGTAGGTAAAAGTGCACACACAGAGTTAACTGGAAACACAGAATTGTTTATTTATTTATTTTTTAACGAAAAAAAAAAAAAAAATCAGGTTCCTGCATCCGCACTCATTATCTTTAAAACCATTGGATTGAGGACAATGGTAAGTATCAGATTAGGTGGGCTTCTCTTCAATATGCCTCAAGCTCTACAGCGTCAGCACATACAGGGTTTTTACTGAAGATAGAGTATTTGGATGTTATGTAGCTATAGATACATGCAGCTGTGCAGGCACACTGTGTGATCATTACTTCTTCATCTGAGTATTGGAAAGGCCGTGATGTAATGATATGATGTATGATGTAATAATAATTCTTGCAGTAGGAATGTTAGAGATTTAACATGTAAAGCAATTCAAGCTCAGAAACTAGCTTCTAACTTCTCATGCTGTTATATAGAGTTTTTTCAGGATGAAGCAGAGGATTTTTACCACGACTAATCCTTTTGGGCTAGGCAGTGGAGTCTTTGGCACAGAACAGATACTGTTGGCTTTGTACATATGTAGGTCTCATAAATACAAATTACCCTTTATACACACTGTGTACTGTTTACTGTAGCCAACAAACTAACAAACCTTCATAGCTTATTTCTCATGGGCTTTCCTCCTAGGTCTCATTAGCAAGCATATTTTATTTATGTGTATTTACAGACCTTGTATGTGTGCTGATTTAAACATGTCAAATATCTTGATTCCACTTTTTTTTTATTTTTGAGATTTTTAATACATTTAATTGTTCAGTTGCCTGAATTACCTGTACCTGTACATCAAAATGATGCTATTTGAATCCAATTACACATAATTCTTCTATGGTTTAATCCCTGTGGCTATCTTTAGGGAGATTACATCACTGATGAGATAATGTTTAAATTTAGTATTATGGAAATTATTTGTGCTTAAAGGAGAAGTCTACCAAATACCTTTTATTTAGTTAGATGAGAGTAGGGAAAGGTTTTGATTGCTGCCCATTTTTCTGCTGCATATGATCCTATAATGTTATACTTCCTGTCCAAGTTAAACATTTCCCAATTGGGGCAGAGACAGCATCACAAACCTGAGGTCAGACTTTTCTCTATCATATTAGCTAGAAGCCCAGCCAATACACTTACCTTAAACAACTTCAAAATAGCAATTAGGTACACAAAGAACTAAGACTGATACCATATTTTTTCTTAAGTCTTTATTTAGGAAACAAATGCATATACCGTACTTTCCGGCGTATAAAACGACCCCCTACTTTTCCTGTTAAAATATAGGGTTTGGGCTATACTCGCCGTATAAGACTACTACTCTTCCAACGCACACCAAATAAAAATTAAAAAACATCAGATTTGATTTCAATATGGTATGGTATTTCAGTATGGTATTCAAATGATGGGGTGCTATTCCTCCCATTGACACCAATGATGGGGCACGATTCCTCGCTCTGACACCAATGATGGGGCACTATTCCTCCCACTGATACGAATGATGGGACACTATTCCTCCCACTGACACCAATTATGGTGCCCCATCATTTGTGTCAGTGTTTGAGGAATAGTGTCCCATCATTAGTGTCAGTGGGAGGAATAGTGGCTCATCATTGGTGTCATTGGGAGGAATAGTGCCCCATCATTGGTGTCAGTGGGAGGAATAGCACCCCATCATTGGTGTCAGTGGGAGCAATAGCGCCCCATCATTGGTATCAGTGGCAGGAATTGCGCCCCATCATTGGTATCAGTGGCAGGAATAGTGCCCCATCATTGGTATCAGTGGCAGGAAAAGTGCCCCATCATTTGTATCAGTGGGGGGAATAGTACCCCATCTTTGGTGTCAGTGGGAGGAATAGTGCCCCATCATTGGTGTCAGTAGGAGGAATAGTACCCCATCATTGGTGTCAGTGGGGGAAGGAATAGTGTTCCATCATTGGTGTCAGTGGGGGGTGGAATAGTGCCCTATCATTGGTGTCAGTGGGGGGTGGAATAGTGCCCCATCATTGGTGTCAGTGGGGGGAGGAATAGTGCCCCATCATTGGTGTCAGTGGGGGGAGGAATAGTGCCCCATCATTGGTGTCAGTGGGGGGGGGGGAGGAATAGTGCCCCGTCGTTGGTGTCAATGGGGAGGAGGAATAGTGCCTCATCGTTGGTGTCAGTGGGGAAGGAATAGTGCCCCATCGTTGGTGTCAGTCGGTGATTGGCCGCCTGTGTGCCTTCCTGAGCTACAGTTCTGGCGCCCAATCACCGGTGAGGAGGCGAAGCTGAGCCGCCCTGTGGAAATCGAGTGAGAGAGCGGCCGGTAAGTGTGCAGCAGCACCATGCTGGAACACTATTGGCACTATTCCTCCCCCCCCCCCCCCCCCCCGCGGACATCGAGCGGGGCCGAACAGAAATGAAGGAGCAGCTGCGCTTCCTGGACCGGATCGTCGTGGGACCGGGACTGGAGCCAGGTAACAAACAGCAGCCCCCTGCCCGCCCCTGTACTTAGTGTCTCTTCCGTTGGAAGGGGGGGGCGGCACCGTGCAACCCCCCCCCCCCCCGAAAAAGTGCCGCCCTGAGACCGGCTCGCCGTATACCGGCGTATAAGACGACCCCCGACTTTTCAGAAGATTTTCATGGGTTAAAAAGTCGTCTTATACGCCGGAAAATATGGTAATAATAATTTGCTGATATAAATTGCTTTCAGGTACAGATGACAAAATACGGCAATATGACGTGCATTTGAAATAGAACCATTAAAGAGAATTTATTAACCAAAGCCTGGAATATAGGCTTTTGAGGCCAGATCAGTGAAGTAAGTCAGTATGGAGAATTATAATTATACAGGATTTATATAGCGCCAACAGTTTACGCAGCACTTTACAACATAAGGGCAGACATTACAATTACAATTCAATTTAATACAATAGGAATCAGAGGGCCCTGATAATTAGAGCTTACAATCTAAGAGGGAGGGTCAAGAGATACAAAAGGTAATAATTGTGCGGGATGAGCTGATGGAGAAACTAAAAGTACAGTTCTTATGTGCAAGCAGAGTAGGCATCTCTGTAGAGAAGGGTTTTCAGGGATTGCTATAAGTGGACAGACTAGTAGATAGTGGGACAGATTGGGGTAGGGAGTTCCAGATGATGGGAGAGGCTCAGGAGAAGTCATGGAGGTGAGCATGGGAGGAGGTGACAAGGGAGCCAGAGAGCAGGAGGAGAATGATTTGATTGGTATTTTGAGACTAGGTTAAGGATGTAACTGGGTGCAGAGTCATGGATGGATTTGTAAGATGTTGTTAGTATTTTAAATTTAATTTGTTGGGTGAGCAGAAGCCAGTGGAGAGATTGGCAGAGAGGGGTAGCAGATACTGAGCAGTTGGTAAGGTAAATCTGGCAGCAGCTTTAGTGATATTGAAGGCATTTAGGAAAGGCCAGCTAATAGAATTGTAGGGTACAGTGTAGCACAGTGTAGCACAGTGTGAACTGAGGCATGGGGGGGGGGGGGGGGTGGTCCTGGACTAGTTGCTCAAACATAGAGAAGTCTGGTTGCCTGATGGACTCCATATTAACACAAAACATTTGATGTATAGCTAACAGTGTATTGAAATTGTATTTGACAGAACCAGGTCTTTCTGAAATATTCTTCCTAGTATCAGAGGGATGTGAGGTCTTCCATCCTCTGCTATGTGATAGATTTTGTTATTGCACCACCACATACCCTCTTGTATCTGACAAATGCTGCCATCAGATTCAGGGCAGACTGCAGAAGCTGGTTTAATAGAATATATCAGGTCAGGCTGTATCAACAAAAAGTTCTGGGATGACAAGATGGTGTCTGATGAAGATGATTCAGAGGCATCTGCAAACATGCGAGATAAGGTGTCTGCCTTGCCATTCTTGGATCCTGGACGATACTTGATGTGAAAAGAAAATCTTGAAAAGAAAAGAGCCCTTGTCAAGGCCTCAACCGTATAGCGGACCTACAGTACTTGAGCTTATTGCGGTCCATGAAGATTAGAACAGGGTGTGCTGCACCTTCCAGTAGGTATCTCCGTTCTTCAAGTGCTGATTTGATTGCCAGCAATTCCCTGTCACCCACGTCATAATTCCTCTCTGATTGGCTCAACTTCTGAGAGAAGAAGGCCTCAGGGTGCAGTATGGCTTTAGGACCTTGTCGTTGTGATAATACGACCCCTGTTGCGTGTCTGAGGCATCAACTTCAAGCACATAAGGCCATAAGGCAGAGCTGGATCAGGATGCTAGAGAACTGGTGCTGAAGTAAAGAGGGCCTTTAATTTGTCAAAGGTGGTTTGAGTCGCCGGGGTCCATTGGAACCGTGTGTGTTGGCAGATAAGTTTTGTGATTGGAGCAATGATGTCAGAGAAGCGTTTTATTAATTTGTGATACAAATTAACAAACCCCACAAATCTCTGAACTCCCTTCTTGTCTTTGGGTGCTGGCCATTCAAGGATGGAGGACACCTTTTGGAGATCTATAGCGATTCCTTCTGTAGAGATCACCAACCCCAGAAATTGAATAGGTTGTCTTTCAAACTCACATTTTTCTGCTTTTGCGTACAGTCCATGCACTCTCAAGACAGTCAAAACTTTCTTTACATAAATGCAATGCATTTCCAGAGAGGGATAAAAGATCAGGATGTAGTCAAGGTATGTGACTAGGAAGAGATCTAGGTACTCCCGGAAGATGTCGTTTACAAAATGTTGGAATGTGGCAGGGGCATTACACAAGCCAATAGGCATCACCAGGTACTTGAAATGCCCAAAACGAGTTTGAAATGCTGTCTTCCACTCGTCCCCTTCTCTGATGTGTACTAAGTTATAGGCCCTCAAGTCAAGCTTAGTGAATATCTGGGCCGTCTGGAATCTTTGAAAAGTTTAAAAATTAAAGGGAGCGGGTAGCAGTTTTTTACAGTAATCTTATTGAGCTCCCGGTAGTCCACAAGGTCAGAGAGAGTAGTCTTTTTTTTTCCAAAAAGAATATGTCAGCTCCTCACGACATGGCTTGATACCGGACCGATGGCTCTGGCTCACTTCTCTTATCCTTCAGACTTCCTGCACTGAATCCTCACCTAAAACGCAGCATCCTGTTCCTCCTGACAGCAGGCACCTCACTGGGGCATTACCATGGTCAAAATCTGGCAGGTTACGGCCCCCTCGGTGGCGGAAAAACTGGCCCGATTTCACAGGCAAGATGACACTGGCTCCACTCACTCTGTCTTCCCCTGCTCTCTCCCAGGCCGACCCCAATGGATCGGTGAGTGCTTCTCCTCCTGAGCTTTCCACTCTGCCTGTAGCCCTTTCATCTCCCTTGGGCTCCCCTTCTGACACTGATAATGAGGGGGATGCTGATCAGCAACCTACTGAACCTACATTGTCTCAGATTATGCAAGCCATACAAGACTGCAAGACTTCATTGACTACGCAGATAGAGACCATTCATGTCGGTTTCTCTCTGTTGAAACAAGATGTACAAAACCTTCAGGAGACAATGGGGGTGGCTGAAGACTGCATTAGTTCCCTAGAAGACACTCTTCATCCTCTGGCCGCCTCAGTGCACTTGGCTACTAATGGAATGGAGGCTCTCAAGGCTGAATTGGACGATTTGGAAAATTGTTCCCGCAGTAATAACTTGCATTTTGTGGGATTTCCTGAATGCTCTGAGGGATCATCTAAACAGTTTCTTTCTTCCTGGCTGAGTGACACCTTTGGAGCTGAGGGGCAACTTTGCAATTGAGCTGGCCCATCACACATGCCCTTCTGGCTCCCCTCCTCACTCCGTGATTGCACGGATTCTCAACTTTCAAAGTAAAATCGCCATCCTCCGAATTGCTAGAGAGAAGGGGCCACTTCGATATAACGGTGCTACCATCTCTATTTATCCTGATATCTCTGTGGACATGCAGAACCAATGTGCTTCTTTTGCCACTGTAAAAGAACGCCTTAGGATTCATGGCCTGCAGTATGCTATGCTCTTTGCAGCCAAACTGCATTATTCATGTTGGGAAAGCTCACTTTTACACCAACTCAAAAGAGGTGATGGCTTGGCTGGATGATCGTTTCGTGCCAGAATCCAGGCGTAGATGACTTTAGCTCTGTAAGGCTTTCCTGTGCCCTGTATTCACCCCTTCAGGTTGCTACCCTCCGTTCCTCCTGAGGCTTTGTTTTTGCTCTGGTCATGTATGCTGATATTCCATGACTTATTTTGTGCTATTTCTCCCTGGCACACTACTACTTTTATCTACCTGCTCTTTGCCAGAACCTGTTTTCAACTCTTTAGAGCTCTCCTCAGACTACTTCACCTGTGCTGGCAGATCCTGTTACCTTTGGCTCCCACTAAACACCTTTTGTGGTGATGGACTGCCCAGAGAAGACTCTTGACCTTGCTTCAGGGACTCTTTTTACCCTTTCAGAGGATTTGATATCTACTATAAAGAGCCAACTGGACTTCAGCATGCCTTCTGACCTGTTAGTGGTGAAGCCACTGTACGTTCAAGAGTTAATGGGATCCAAGCTCTCTAAGTTGGGGATGGAAGATCAGGGTGGGCAGGGAGGGTTTTTGGGCATTCTTTTGTTGGATACAAGATGTTTTTGTTTGTTTTTTCTTGCTGATCTCACATGCCTTCTCTCCACAGTTTTATTGTCTAGCTGTATTGATGTGCTCCATGTTACGTGGATATCCTGTGTTTATATTTTATGTCTATACTGATCTTTTATGTCTTTACCACTGAAAGTTCTTTCCTGGAACATTAGAGGACTGAATTCACCCCAGAAGTGGTCATTTTAATTCTCTATTCTTAAAAACGTAGACACATATTGTTTGTCTCCAGGAAACCCATTTAATTGGATCTAAGCTTTTGGCCCTTAAACGTCATTGGATCGCTAAGTCCTTCCACTCTACCAATACCTCCTACTCCAATGGTGTTTCTGTGTTGCTAGCTAAATCCTCCCAGCTGATATTGTCCAAATGAAAACAGATTCGGATGGGAGATTTGCATCCTTACCATTCAAAATATTATGTTTACACTGGTAAATGTCTATATTCCACCTCCGTTTTCTCCGGATCTCCTAACTAAATTATCCCTTATGACTCTGTCCCTCCCTAGTGGCCCTTTACTCTATGTTGGGGACTTTAACGCAGTATTAGACCCTTCTGTTGACCGCTTGGGGGGGGGTGGAATTTATCAGATGCTCTGTGACTGGGTACAAGTGTATGATCTTACTGAAATATGGCGATGGAAACACTCTAATCCACGTCAGTACTCCTGCCATTCTGACTCTTTTCACACTATGTCACGTCTTGATATGGCCTTT